GTATTCCCTCAGCGACCAGCACAGATCAGCTCTAGGCATGATGAAGCGGATATCGTCCTCTTTTGGAAGACCAAACAAAGTAGTTTTGTTTTCACAACGAAACACACAGCGTCTGCAGGACATGGCGGCGACGGCAACAACAATACTACAGCGAGAATAAAAGTTACGCCTTCTTTCTTTGCGTGAACATTTGGGCGGCGTTATGTAAATCTTCCCACATAGTGAGGTAGATATGTGGGGGCATGTTCGAACGAGCCGTTTTAGGTAGGTGTGGCTGACTCTTAACTTTTATAAAGAATATCTCTTTGGATTTGAGACTTTAGTCTTTGCAAATTTACAGATCTTCTTTATGCACCAAGAGCTTGTAACACTCCAAAGAGAGAGGAAAAATTGAAATCGCATCATATGACCCCTTTAAAATAATCAGATGGATCACGGACCAACTTCACATCGAGGACGTCGAGGAAAAATGAGTAAACCAACCAAATGAGCTTCATAGAAATCCATTTATGCATTTTGCATAAATGGAAGACAAAGTGAGTGTTGTAACATGGCGAGTTGTAATCATCAGCATATTATAAATTAGTTAAAAAGTAGTTAAGTAGTAGATCACAATAAATTAATGTACAAAACGTAAAACAAAATGTGTACACACACACACACACACACACACAATGTTACAATTATAAATAGAGATTCTATGCTTAGAATTGCAAATGTTATGTTAAAAAAATTAACATTTATTTTTAATGATGAATCTGCTGTTCAATGCTTTTTTAAGGCAATTTTCATGTTTTGCTATTATTTATAAAACACTATATAATATGATCTCGTCTTGTCCTGTCCAAGTGATCTAACACAATATCGGTTATGTTATGATGCACAGCTGTACAGGTCATGACAGTGGCTGCTTTACAGAAGGCGTCTTTGTAACCAACCGTTTTAAATGTGCACTCATTGCTTCAATGGACTTTCTGGCACTGGTTGCTATACTCGAAGGTAAATGGACCCACATACTGTAATTTCCTCGGCTTGTTGCCGTTCCGCAAGAATGGTTTCTTGGCTGCCCTGCGCCTCACAAAACCACTTTGTAGAAAATAGCTGAAGCATGTACAGTATGTAGTGCTGAATGACTCCTAAACACTGAGCAAGCAGCTCAATGGATTTCCTTCTGCACTTTAGAAAGCTTTATGTACAGTATGTACTGTTACTCAGTACATTTTCCTGTCTTGGATAAAATATTATTATTAATAATATAACATTCATTTAATTAATTTTCATCTTTGAGTCATGGTCATTGCCATGTTGCCTACTTTTAATAATAAAAAAAAAGACTGGAAGCATTTGGAAATAAAATAGGTTTTCAAATTATTTCAGACCAAAAGGTTTTCTTTTGAAAGCTGTTTTAACTAAATCATAAAGGTTTTCTTATGTCACCAATATCACTTTTCATCCCATTATTCAACTCTGTTATGCAGATAACTTAAAGTTATAAGTGCCTGAGCTTGACCAGCGTATATCTTTCATGGAAATACTTCCTTGAATTTACACTCATATTCATTTTTTGTACCTCAAATGATACTGCATAACAGGAAATACACATGTTTTTTACACATGTATTCTCAAAGCACAGTGTTTCAATTTTTATTTTAAAGGAATAGTTCAGCCTCAGGTAGATGAATTTGTTTCTCCATCTGAAGAGATTTTGAGAAATTTAGCATTACATCATTGCTCACTAATGGATCCTCTGCAGTGAATGGGTGCCGTCAGAATGAGAGTCCAAACAGCTGATGTTCGTCAGTGCTGAACACATTAAAGGTTCTAGTGATGCTGGCTGTAAACAGCCACGACAATGAGGTATATTGGAAAACGCCAATAGGCATGTCAATTCAGCACCATAGTAACTTAACTTGAAGTTATTAACACTGCACAAATAGCTTATCATGTGTTGGCAGAAATTTATTTAATATAAATGTTACGTTATTACACATTGGGAAATATTTACATTTTATAGAAGGTGTTTTGTAGTTTCTTCATGTTTATTTTTATTTATTTTTTTACTACAACTTTTATTGTTTATTATTACTTATTATTTATTTTAAAAACCATATAACCATGGTAATGAGGACCATGGTTTTACTTCTTGTGACCCCCATCCTACTAAACTAGTCAGCTAAACTCTGGATTCTAAGCAAGAACTTCTTTCTTTTTAGATGTTTAGTTCTAATTTATTTTAATTTAAGTAAAATGTTAATTCAATAAGGGCCTGATTAAAGATAAATATCAGTGTCTTATATAAATTAGGTGTTTATTATTTACAGATAATAAAGTTCTTAAAGGGAGATTCACCCCAAAATATAAATTGTCATCATTTACTCAACACCATGTCATTCCAAACCTGTATGCATTTCTTTCTTCTGTGGAACATAATTTGAGAAATTCAAGACATTTTTGTCCATACAGTAGAAATCAAGGGTAACCAAAAGGGTTTGGTGACATTCTACAAAATCTTCTTTTGTGTTCAACAGAAGAAAGTCGTTTGGAACGACACGAGGGTGAGGAAATGATGACAGAATTAATTAGCAGTAACTTTCCAGCAGTCTAGCTCAAAATCAATGCTTTACTGTCAAGTGCTTTTCTATGTGACAAAAATGCATTAGTAAGTTTGTTGCATTTGTCGTAAATTCAGTAATATCTATAAGTATTCGTTTCTGTCCTGTTTTATTTATTCATTTATTTACTCCAGTTGAAGGCCCTATGACCCATCAAAACATTCAAGGGGGAATTTGTGGTCCGGATGGGCTCGATTTGTCCTGGGCCAAATTTTAACCCCAGTCAAGCCCCCACCCCTGAACATTATTTTACTTTTTACACTCTAAAAAATGCTGGGTTAAATACAACCCAGTGCTGGGTAAAATAGGAACAAACCCAGCAATTAGGCTGTTTTGACCCAGCGGTTGGGTTAAATGTTCAACCCAACCTTCTGGGTAACCCAACCACTGGGTCAAAACAGCCTAATTGCTGGGTTTGTCCCTATTTTACCCAGCACTGGGTTGTATTTCACCCAGCATTTTTTTAGAGTGTACGATCGCAACTCATACCCCCCTCCACTGAACGTGATTTTGAGGGGGCCCCATAGCAAATTCAGTGCATAGGGCCCAGAATTCCTAGCGACGGACCTATATATTATATATATATATAATTATATATATACACACTCTAAAAAATGCTGGGTTAAATATTACCCAGCACTGGGTCAAAAAGGGACAAACCCAGCTATTGGGCTGTTTTGACCCAGCTATTGGGCTGTTTTATATATCATTAATTAATTAATAAAATGAATGAAACACTGCAAAGCTGTGAAACAATAGTTGGCCTAAAATCCAAATACAACAAACTTGACTAAATATTCTCCCCTACTCATATCCGATTTGCTAACGAAATAATGGCTTACTAATTAAAAGTGTTACCCGCTTTTGTATGGATTAGCCTTCCATAAAACTACAACTAATGAAGTGTAGCGTGGTGCTTTTTTCCTGGAATAAATGCCTTGAGCTGTATTTCTCTGCTCTGCTGCAGAGTCCGACTGCGCAGCTGCAGCGAGAGCGAGAGCCGCAGCGACAGCAGAGCGCAGACAAAATGCCTATGGATAATTTCATATTCGCGCAATGCATCCTTTATTTTTTAGCCTTCGTTTTTGGCTTTATAGCTATAGTACCTCTATCGGAGAACACGGAGGATTTTCGCGGGAAATGTCTGCTTTTCACGCGGGGGATGTGGCAGAACGAGAACATCACGGTGTCTAAGCAGCGCTTCATCATTGAGGAATGGGGACCACAGTCCTCCTGCAGCTTCATCACCGCTGTCGGCATCGCGTCGCTCATCCTGTCCGCCGTACAAGCCTGGAGGCTGCTGCTCTTCATCTGCAAAGGCCACGATGAGTGAGTGATTGTTTCTTTCATCGTATTGCTTGCTAATTTGTTGATGCCTCACATGTATTAGACCCGTGCCAGTGCGGTGGATGGGATGCATGGATGAAGTTATGTCATAAAGCAGCACAGATGAGCTACTATATTCGTTAAATATTTAGTTTTAAATTCGATTTTATATGGGAAACATGTTCAATAACAATACAATGTGACACAGTTTGTGATTAAGTAGTTTAATTGTTTTAAAGAAGAATGTGTGGCCTAACAAAGTATAAATCAGCTGGTAGTGGCTATACTGTATGGTTTAGAACAGTTTCTAATGGAATGAATTCTGAACAATGAGATTGATTATTAATCATTGCTATATGATTATAGTCTGTCCAGCCTGAAATCAAAAGCCAGTATGGTTTACATTTAATAGACATACACACTAGATATCGCACTCTTTTTATATTTAGTATATAACTAAATCACACATAATTCTCAGGAAAAGCCACTATGATAATCGGTATAAGCAGCTATTATTTTATGAATTCTATTATAAAACTACTATTTCATTTAAATAATTTTAAAACCATTCAAAAGGGTTATTTCATCCCAAATTCTAAATTATATCATCATTAAAATATTTTTTCGCGGGAAATGTCTGCTTTTCACGCGGGGGATGTGGCAGAACGAGAACATCACGGTGTCTAAGCAGCGCTTCATCATTGAGGAATGGGGACCACAGTCCTCCTGCAGCTTCATCACCGCTGTCGGCATCGCGTCGCTCATCCTGTCCGCCGTACAAGCCTGGAGGCTGCTGCTCTTCATCTGCAAAGGCCACGATGAGTGAGTGATTGTTTCTTTCATCGTATTGCTTGCTAATTTGTTGATGCCTCACATGTATTAGACCCGTGCCAGTGCGGTGGATGGGATGCATGGATGAAGTTATGTCATAAAGCAGCACAGATGAGCTACTATATTCGTTAAATATTTAGTTTTAAATTCGATTTTATATGGGAAACATGTTCAATAACAATACAATGTGACACAGTTTGTGATTAAGTAGTTTAATTGTTTTAAAGAAGAATGTGTGGCCTAACAAAGTATAAATCAGCTGGTAGTGGCTATACTGTATGGTTTAGAACAGTTTCTAATGGAATGAATTCTGAACAATGAGATTGATTATTAATCATTGCTATATGATTATAGTCTGTCCAGCCTGAAATCAAAAGCCAGTATGGTTTACATTTAATAGACATACACACTAGATATCGCACTCTTTTTATATTTAGTATATAACTAAATCACACATAATTCTCAGGAAAAGCCACTATGATAATCGGTATAAGCAGCTATTATTTTATGAATTCTATTATAAAACTACTATTTCATTTTTAAATAATTTTAAAACCATTCAAAAGGGTTATTTCATCCCAAATTCTAAATTATATCATCATTAAAATATTTTAAAATATTTTGTTTTATACGTGGAACACAAAAAGAGTTATTAGGTGGAATGTCCAAGCTGCTTTTTTCCCCATACAATGAAATTAAATGGTTACATAGGCTACTGTACATACATGGTTTAAAAAAAAAAGGTCCAGGTCTTCTGAAGCTATGTATACTGTATAATACTGTATGTATGCCAAAATATACAAGTTATAGTAAATGAAGCTCTCACCAATCTCACCCATGCTTGTTCTTGCACGTCTCATGACCAATCATGACAAATAAGTGTCAATGACATTTATATGGCTTCAGAACAGGGTTATTAGTTAACTCAAACTAAAATTAAACCATAAAAAAAAAATACTTGAAATAAAATAAACGTTAACTAAAATAAAATATCATAAACTGAACTTTCAGCTAGTTGTCATTGCAACATTGCTCATTTTAATTTAAAGATGTACTAAAATAAAACTGAAATAAATATTAATAATAGGGACGGAATGATTTACTCCACTCACAATGTGATACGATTTTCTCCCAATTATTATTATTTATTTTCTTTTTACAAAAGATTTAAGACAAATTATAAATGAAAATGTGAATCGACACATATTTGTATCGATTTTCAACCGACTCGGCGTGCATCGTTACATCTCTAATTAATAAAAAAAACTAAATAGATACCTATACACAGCTTTTTGTAAAATAAACAGTGAATCACTGTCATTTTATGGAAAAGAGCAGCTCAGCATTCTGCAAAATATCTTCTTTTGTGTTCCACAGAAGAAAGAAAATAGTACACTCTAAAAAATGCTGGGTTAAATATAACCCAGCGCTGGGTTAAAAAGGACAAACCCAGCTATTGGGTTGTTTTGACCTAGCAGTTGGGAACCCAATAGCTGGGTCAAAACAGCCCAATAGCTGGGTTTGTCCCTTTTTAACCCAGCGCTGGGTTATATTTAACCCAGCCTTTTTTAGAGTGCAGGCTTGGAACAACTGGAGAGTGACTTCTGTAAAAATCTCTTTATTATTTATACAGCTCAATCTTCAACGCCTTCCTGAATCTGCTCATCAGCACATTCGTAGTGTTTGCTGTGTTCCTGTCCAGCACAATAGTCAGTGTGGGTTTCAATCTATGGTGTGATGCTATCACAGAAGGAGGCAGTATGCCCAGCAGGTAAGCATGATGCTCAGGTATCCCACTATTTTCTGCTTCTACGGTGTGCATAAAAACACTACAATGTATATAAGAAACTGAAAACAATGACAGATAGTTGTTTTTAGACTGTATTTATAGCTTGGAAAGAGCCACAATTAATTGGGTAGGCCTTTTTTTCGTCTGTCAGGGAGGGTTTGGTGACATTGAAATTAGCCAGAGGCTTTTGGCTCAGTTCACTTCAGTGACTGTTCGAGTTCAATCAACATTTGTGACCCTGGATCACAAAACCAATCTTAAGTCGCTGGGTATATTTGTAGCTATAGCCAAAATACATTGTATGGGTCAAAATTACAGATTTTTCTTTCATGCCAAAAATCATTAGGATATTAATTAAAGATCATGAAGATATTTTGTAAATTTCCTACTGTAAATATTTTAAAACTTAATTTTTGATTAGTAATAAGCATTGCTAAGAATTCATTTGAACAACTTTAAACTTTAAAGATTTTTTTGCACCCTCAGATTCCAGATATTCAAATACACTCTTAAAAATAAAGGTGCTTCAAAAGGTTCTTCAAGCGATGCCATAGAAGAACCATTTTTGGTTCCACAAAGAACCATTCAGTCAAAGGTTCTTTAAAGAATCATCTCTTTCTTACCTTTTTATAATCTGAAGAACCTTCTTTCACCACAAAGAACCTTTTGTCCTTCAGATGTTAAAGGTTCTTTATGGAACCATTTAGACAAAAAGGTTCTTCTATGGTATCGTGAAGCACCTTTATTTTTAAGAGTGTAGTTGTATCTCGGCCAAATATTGTCCTATCCTAACAAATCATACATCAATGGGAAACTTATTTATTCAGCTTTCAGATGATGTATACAACTCAATTTCAAAGAATTGACCCTTATGGCTGGTTTTGTGGTCCAGGGTCACATTTTAGTGTCCACAGACTTCTACATTATTTCAATATAAACTCTGAATGTGTCTGACGAGCAGCTTTGTTCTTAGTTTTTATGAGCAATATCTACTTGATAAATGTTGATTCTTCAGGTGTCTGTGAATTATTTCTAACTGACTACTGTTCATTTCTAGCTGTGAAGATCTTCAGGACACTGATCTTGAACTAGGGTTGAACAACTCTGCTTTTTATGACCAGTTTGCCATAGCACAGGTTGGTCAGTTAAAAATAAAAATGGGTATGAGTGTTTTATATCAATCATTGTGTTGGCTTAAAGGGATAGTTTAACCAAAAATGAACTCATTTCTTCCCTGCAGCACTTTATCAACCTTTAACATTAGACAACATTCAAACTCTGTCTTGAATTTTCCTTTTCTAGTTTCTGGTTCACACTGCTTATTATCATGAATATAACAGTCAGTCCTCCTCTGCTTCCTCTAGTTTGGGTTGTGGGCGGCCTGGCTGACTTGGCTCGGTATCACCGTCATGGCCTTTCTGAAGGTCTATCATAACTACCGTCAAGAGGATCTGGTCGACAGCTTAATCCACGAGAAAATGTTCCTACTCGGACGCTCGTCACGCCGGCGCTCTGATGTGGTAGATGAGAAAAGTGGCATGATATAGTCAACTCAACATTTTCAACGCATTGAAATATACTGTCAAGTAAAATGTGTTCACAAGCCTCTAAATTTGGCTCACTAGGTGGTGTTTCTCAACTTTAGGTTGACCTCAATTGAGCTTATCTGAACCAAATGCTTCTGAATAACATTTTATTTGACATTCGACAATGACTGAGAACAGACATTCACGTGCACTCAAGTGTTCGGACAGAGGTCATAGATCATTTACATTTTTTGATGTTGAGCTTGAAACACAAGACCCTGGACAAAATAAACAGTGAACATCAATAACTTAAAGGGATAGTTCAAGAAAAATTGAATTATTTTTCTACTTCATGTTGTCGCAAACCCGCAATACTTTCATTCATCTTCAAAACACAAAATGAAGATATTTTCAATGAAACCAGAGAGATTTCCATGGAAGCCCATTTCCACCACAGAATAAAAAAAAACATAAATAAAAAGGTAATTGCGACTTTTTATCTCACAATTAACATTTCGAAAAATTGTATCTCACAACTGACTATTTTGCAAATTCTGACATTTTTCTTAGAATGAGTTTATATCTCACAATTCTGAGTACATATCTCACAATTTAGAATTTACACCTCGTAATTCAGACTTTTTTTCTCAGAATTGCGACATTATTTCTTGCAGTTCCGCGTTTATAGTCTCTTCAGAAGACATGGGTTAAATTGCTCAGTTCATATGGATTTTTAACAATGTTATGAACTTTTTAAAGCTATTGTGGAATTGACTTTCAATGAAGGGACAGAAATCTAAGGAAGCTTGGGGGAAAAAAACAGCGACTTTTTTTTCTGCAGTTGCGAGTTTGCGAATTGCAACTTTGACTTAATTTCTCGCAATTCTGAGTTTGTATCTTGAAATTCAATTTTTTTTTTCAGAATCGCAAGATATAAACGTGCAATTGTGAGATTTTGAACAGAAATTCTGAGATACAAAGTTGCAATTTTCCCCAAGCTTCCTCAGATTTCTGTCCCTTCAATGAAAGTCAATTCCAAAATAGCTTTAGAAAGTTCATAACACTGTGAATAATCCATATGAACTGAGCAATTTAATCCATGTCTTCTAAAGAGACATGGTAACTTCACATGTGAATTAAAACCTAAATTAAATCTGCTCATATAGACATTGATCAATGCACATTAAATATTGTAAACATGCTTGAGTCACATGCAAGAACAACCCTCATTGGTTCTTGTGCATCAGGCAAGCATATTTGAGCTTCTTTTTACACCATATTAACTTTTTAAAGCATCAGAGTATTGGTGGAATGAACTTTCCTTGGAGGGATGGAAATTTCTCAGGTTTATTAAAAAAATACCTTCATTTGTGTTTCACGATGACAAATTTGGAACGATATGAGGATGAGTAATTTATGAAAGAATTTTCAATTTTGGGCAAACTATGCCTTTAAGGAAGTGTGCTTAAATAATGTTCTTCTAAATCCTGTGTGACATATAATCAATGTCTTATTACCAACCAAATGGTTCTTTCTTTCTAAAGCCTATTTAAAGCAGCGCTAGAAATGAGCAACAGCTTCCAGTCAGTCTCTATTCCATCAGTGCTCTATACATTAGCTGAGGAGTTGGACTTAGTGCATACATTGTAGCTCAGGTAATACTAGTTTTAAACACTATCTGAAGTGTGTGTGATCCATGTCACTCCCTTTCAGTACTGCCTCTATGTGTAAGACATATATAATGATGTAGTATCCTTCCTATGTAAAGGGATTGCTCTTGAAAACATGCTTGCATGTACATACATATTACAGTATATTAATCAATTCAGACAGACGAAGAGGAAATCTAAGTGACTAATCTTCAGGATTTAACATCGTAATTTGATGAGATATGAGATATTTGGAGGGATAATTTAATGATTTGCTCCATCCAGTTTACTTGCTTTCCTAGAACCACCTACAAAGTTTATGTCATAGTTCACTGTGTTTTGAAATATTGTTGTGCATGTTGCAATACAATTTGATGCAGGCCTTTTTTGGTTCAAGCATCTTATGATAACTAGTCCTCCTAACCCTAAAGGATTCTGTTTTAGTTTGGGAAGTTAATGATGTGTGAGCATGAGTTGTGATTCACTGTAACTCTGTAACACACTCAGGCCCACGTTTCCGAGTATAAAACATTATGCATAAGATTGTTTTGTGCATCATTTTATTTATTGTGTAATAGTGTGAACACATCTCTGCAACTTTCAACATTCTAAGTCTAGGGCTTTTATTGAATAAAAGCAGTAATAGCAGCATATACAGCAATGATGATGAAAATACAAAGCAATTGTTGATTTTTCTGATCACGAAATAAATTAAATTCAGTCTTTAAACTATAGTGATGATTTAGAGCTCTTTTTGGTTTTGAGAAAGAAATGCAGTGAATATACTGCCAAAAACCTCTAAACCTCCACTGTTCCACCTCTATTGACATACACATTACAGAAAGACTAAACATAGAGAATGTGCACTTGTCCTGGGGCGATTTTATTGCTTCAGCGATTGGCTAGCTCAACAGTATAAAATATGTAGTTTATTTCGGTTTTGTCATCCAAATTCCCCTGAAATGGGTATAGTTAGCAAGTGTGCTAATTATATATTGCATAAATGTATATGCATTTATATAAACGTCTCCATAAAGTGCACAAAATATCATGATATAATGCAACATTTGTTTTGTGTTTTGACATTTTCAGGTGTTTCTATCCAAGTAACTCACAGTGATTTGATGCAGGTCACAGCATTTTGTGCACTTTTAACTTCTCTTAATCGATTGTATTGAAGGGGATTAATTCAACTGCATTTTTAATAAATATTAAATATTTGGAGTCAGTAAGATTTTTAAAGTAAGCTCTTACCAAAACTGAATTTATTCGATTAGAAATACAGTAAAGTATTAGAAATATTACTACAATTTAAAATAACAGTTATATATTTTATATATAATTTATATATTTTAATACATTTTAAAATTGAATTTATTCCTGTGATATTAAAGCATCATTACTCCTGTCTTCTGTGTCACATGATTCTTCAGAAATCATTCTGATAGGCTTTTTTTAAATCTGATAGATTTGCTGTTCAAGAAATATTCCTTATCAATGTTGAAAAAAAATATTCTGTATATATATATATATATATATATATAAATTTCAGGATATTGAATAGAAAGCACTAATTTAATTCATCTGCAAATGTTTGAACAGGTGTGTGTGTGTGTGTGTGTGAGTGTGTATAAGATCTCTTCATGATGACAGAGTTTTCAATTTTGGGCGTACTGTCTCTTTAATTCAAGCAATACCAACTTATGTGCTAATGGAAAATAAGCAACTTTGACACTAAAAACCAAAGGCTGATAAAATTTGATAGAAAATGCTTGCCCAAAAACTAGAAAAATAGATATTGAACAGCTGCTGCTATAAAGAAAGATTAAGAGACTAAAAGTGTAAAACAGTAAAAAAGATTCTTATAAAACATAGTAAAACAAATGAATGCACCGTTATTAGGCTTAAGCCAAGATGCTGGTACAGGTTTATGTAAAATATAAACTGAAATAGAGCGAGTATCATAAAGCGTTCAGCTATTTAAAATGGCATTCTTTCATTTTCCAGTTCAATCTGGCAGTAGATCTCTTCATGATGACAGAGTTTTCAATTTTGGGTGTACTGTCTCTTTAATTCAAGCAATACCAACTTATGTGCTAATGGAAAATAAGCAACTTTGACACTAAAAACCAAAGGCTGATAAAATTTGATAGAAAATGCTTGCCCAAAAACTAGAAAAATAGATATTGAACAGCTGCTGCTATAAAGAAAGATTAAGAGACTAAAAGTGTAAAACAGTAAAAAAGATTCTTATAAAACATAGTAAAACAAATGAATGCAACGTTATTAGGCTTAAGCCAAGATGCTGGTACAGGTTTATGTAAAATATAAACTGAACTAGTGCGAGTATCATAAAGCGTTCAGCTATTTAAAATGGCATTCTTTCATTTTCCAGTTCAATCTGGCAGTGCATGACCAACGTGATCTCATGATAATTCGTATGTATTTTACGTAAAATGTGGTTCTATAAAACGTACATTTACTTACGTTTTTACAGGCTCTAAAATGGGTAGGTTTAGGTTTGGGGGCAGGTTAAGGGGTCTAAAAAAATCTAAATTGCGTATTTATAAAATTATCCTTTATATATATCGCTATAAAATGGGTAGGTTTAGGTTTGGGGGCAGGTTAAGGGGTCTAAAAATCTAAATTGCGTATTAATAAAATGATAAAAATGCATATTCGCTATAAATTGGGTAGGTTTAGGTTTGGGGGCAGGTTAAGGGGTCTAAAAATCGAAATCGCTTATTAATAAAATGATAAAAATGCATTGATATGAATATCTAAATGATATAAAAGATACGTAAATATTTTTACGTTTTTTAGCTAAAAATACGTAGCGATTTGTACGTTTTAAACGTTGAAATACGTCTAAATTGTACGTTTTAGCATGACTAAAAACGTACAAAAGTGTACGTTTTGTGCTTGTAAATGTTACGTATTTATACCTACGTATAAACATGAGACCAGGCTGGCATGACACAATATATGGCCAGCTCATCCTTCAACAGTCTCATATCTCTTTCTGAGAGAATTTGTGGCAGATGGAAACGTTTGTGCTTAACAGAACAGCTTTGCCCTTCGTTTCTCGTAAAGTAGATAAATGCTAAAGGTGACATCATTGTGCCAGTTCTCTTTTCTCATTTACATTGAAATATATTCTTTAACAATGATTAGTGTCATGTTTGATAAATGCATAAAACGCATATTTGTATTCTAAACCTATTTGATTATTAGTAAAATAAATAGCATTGTCTTGCATTCCACAGACACATTCAACCACATTATGTACAGCAAGTGCATTAAAAATAAAAGCATTGATTAAATGAAATATTTTTGGACATTAAAAGGGTCATATAATGCGATACATTGGTTCATAGAGAATACAGTGTGCACAATCTGTAAAGCCCGACTGATTTTGGGTCTGATAATAATCAATGACATAAGAGTGTTCACGGTAAAGAGAAGAAAAAAATATTTGATAAAATCTTTTCTAAAACTAAATTATAATTACGTTTTTGGGGAGTTGCACCACATGACATTTTACTAATAACTATAACATTTCAATGATATTATTAAATAACTTAAATTTAATTCTCTTTAATTCAGGAGAATTCTCAATAAAAATGAGGATCATGTCTTTGATCTCATATTTAACTCAAATAAGAGGATATGGTTGCACCAAAATCAAAATATTACGATGTTTTGAAGCTGGATAAAAATAAATCCATTCTTGGATGTGTCTGAGGATAAACATATTTCCAACTCAATCCTGTCTTTATTTTTGTAATACAGTACATTTATTTCAGCAGTTTCCTAAATTCACTCTTTGAATCAGAAAGCCCTTATATTGATATTTATATCCTAAGACAAAAATAGCGCTTCAGAAATTGAGGTAAATATTGTATAAAGCAAATGAACACAAAGAACAGCACTAGCAGGAAATGATCCAGCCAACCATTCTATAAGCACATGCGATGTGTGTGTGTGTGTGTGTCTAAGCGTTCTCTGCACTAAAATGTAACTATTTGTGACAATGCACATGATATTATGCATGTACTCACCGTTACATGTGGCTCATTTCAGAAATTGAGGTAAATATTGTATAAAGCAAATGAACACAAAGAACAGCACTAGCAGGAAATGATCCAGCCAACCATTCTATAAGCACATGCGATGTGTGTGTGTGTGTGTCTAAGCGTTCTCTGCACTAAAATGTAACTATTTGTGACAATGCACATGATATTATGCATGTACTCACCGTTACATGTGGCTCATTCATATTGCTTATTAGAGACCTGTAAAGGTATTCAATGTCTTGCATGCCTAATTTAACTGATAATACTGACCTATTAATATATCAGTAGGGCTCTACCTGTGGACGGAATTCATTCATTCGTTTCCTCTCTCGACACTCTTGTATAATTCTGAGTGCTAAAGGTTTTTAATTAATATTGCTGCACAAGTACACCAAAAGATGCTTTAAAAGGAAACATTCAGCCAAAAATAAAAATGTACTGAAAATGTACTCAACCTCAGTCTAATCAAGATTTTTATGAGTTTGTTTCTTCATCGGAACAGATTTGGGGATATTTAGCATTACATCACTTGCTCACTAATGGATCCTCTGCAGTGAATGGGTGCCGTCAGAATGAGAGTCCAAAGAGCTGATAAAAACATCACAGTAATTCACAAGTAAAAGGGTTTAAAGTTTAAAACGCCTTAACGATGGATTTGTTTCTCACAAACGCACAGCTTGTTGCTTCACAAAATGTGTGGAATACTTTTGAATCATTATGACATTTTTATCAGCTGTTTGAACTCTCATTCTGATGGCACCCATTTACTACAGAGGATCCACTGGTGAGCAAGTGATGTAAAGCTAAAGAAACAAACTCATCTACATATTGGATGGCCTGAGGATGAATGAATGTTCAACAAATTATCATTTTTGGTGAACTATTCCTTTAAAACACAGCATCCAGAACCGCTATACAAGGAAAAAGAGCTACATACAAATATCTAAATATATATGGCTCAGTATAATGAGGCATTAGCCACCATAAAGGGCAAAAAGACACACCATCCCTTAATGGTGCGAAAAGCACATGGCCTTTAATCAACCACAAAATAAAAAAGGTGGATGTTGAAGATCCTCAGAGAATTCGACTGGTGGCCAGTCTGATTATAACAGTGAAAATAAAGCAATAAAAAAACGAGGACCTTTATCTTTTATTTCCTCCACAGTCCTTCAAAAAACATCCTGACCTTTTATGTTTTTTTTTCCTGCTGGTTGCTGCCCCCTGTGGTCAGTTATGGTCATTGCATGGTCAGCCAGATCCAGCAGGCCCAAACGATCTGTTTGAACTGAAGCAGGTACACAGCCAGTGCCGTCTGCAGCTCTTCGCAGGCGCGCTGGGGTCTCCGGCGGTCCGTGCAGTACAGTGCTAGACCCAGCGCAGACAGAAGCAGGAATAGGCAGGTGAGCAGGGCCAGGTGCAAATGGCTCTGGGGAGTGTCGTAGACTGGAACACAATATTTGAAATACTAAATTTGTTGCTGCGCAACTGTTTAAAACAGTGTAAAGCAGAGCTATATGACATGCAGAAAAAACATATCTAGCATGGCCACAAATTAAGAATTAGTTCCTTCATTTTCACAGCATTAATTCACAGCTACAATTTACTATTCATTACCTCTTTTTAGTTAAAGGAGTCATATGATGCAATTTAAATTTTTCCTTTCTCTTTTAACTGTTACAAGCTCTTGGTGCATAAAGAAGATCTGTAAAGTTGCAAAGACTAAAGTCTCAAATCCAAAGAGATATTCTTCATAAAATTTAAGAGTCAGCCACGCCTACCTAAAACAACTCGTTCTAACACGCCCCCACATATCTACGTCACTATGTGGGAAGATTTGCATAACGCCGCCAAAATGTTCACGCAAAGAAAGAAGGCATAACTTTTATTCTCGCTGTAGTATTATTGTTGCTGCCGCTGCCGCCATGTCGTGAAGGCGCTGTGTTTCGTTGTGAAAATGAAACTACTTTGGTTGGCCTTCCAAAAGAGGACGATATCCGCTTCGTCATGCCTAGAGCTGATCCATGCTGGTCGCTGAGGAAATACATCAACTTCGTGCTGTCGATCGCCGGATCGGCTTTCACCGTGGACGTAGCAGAGTCCAGCCCGGGGTCATCACATGTGGTTGCCGCAAGCCCGCCGGACGCTCCTTCGTCGAATCCGCTGGCCGCCCGTTCTCAAGCCCGCCGACCTCTGCTCACTCAAGCCGGCCTCCGCATACTAGGACATTCTAGGACACGACTAGAAATCAGTGGGTAAGTTGTATTTACAACACTGTTCCAGAACATTTTAACCCAAATATTCAGATGTGTCCAGCGCATTTTATGGAGGACTGTTTCCTGATCCTGGTAGAGTAGACTA